AGTGTTCAAAGAAAAATGAAAGTCAGAAATAGCCCTGGTAAACGGAAGTTTTGATATTTCCATTCCCATAATTCTGGGAGTTGTCAATGATTTTTACTTCCACTAATGAGGAAATAACTCAAGAGCTGGTCCTCTTCTGTCAGGAGACAAATATTATGAAACAGAACTGTCATTTGTCTCAGAGCTCTGTTTTCTGCAGAGGCGTATGTGTATGTGCTTGTAAGAAAAAAGGGCATTTTCTCAGCCAAGATAAAATGAGCTGTAATAGACTGATTACTAAATGGTTTATCATAAAACCTCAGTACTGGAAAAGAACATCAAGGGTCATACGGTTTAATCTCCTATCTACAAATATGCTCATTCGAAGCATAAGGGCCAAGTCAACAAGTTTTTGAAGCTGGTAAACACTATCATCATCTAATTGTATGACCTCTCTCTTCCCAAAATGCTCTATGACACATGTAGTTTTCAAATTGATTGTCTTTAGAATTTTGTGACATTGAGAAAATTGCAGATGTCCTAGACTAGGTTATAATACTCTTAGGAAAATGATTGTTTTTCCAGAAGAATAACTGTTTCACTTTTCTGTTTAGTTTTAGCTGTTATTTACTGGCTGTAGGAAGAGAGCATTGCTCCTAATCTCCTTGTGGTTGATGGTTAAATTCATGGCCCTCCCTGCACCACATGTCCCTGTCTGCCCTTGTGTAGTCCCCTGCCCACCCCATAGACGCTATAGGCTTGATCGTGTGACTTCCTATGGCCTATGGGACATTAGCAAATGTGACACAAGCAGATGCTAGTAACATGCTTGTGCATTGGGGCTTGCCTTCTCTTTTGCTGCTTTTAGAATCCAATTTCCATGTGAACAAGCTCAGGCAAGTCAGCTAGAGCCAAGTGGCCCAGCCAATAGCCAACACCAGCTGCCAGACATGTGAGTGAGGCCGTTTTAGACCATTCAGTCGCAGTTGAGCCACCAGATAACTGAAACTGCACAAGGCAAGACCAGCGGAGGAACCACCTAGCTGAACCCAGCCCCAACTGCTGACCTACAGAATCGTGAGCCAATAAAACGGGTGTTGTTTTAAGTCGCTAACTTTTAGAGTGGTTTGTTTTGAAGCAATGGGTAACTGATGCACTCCTGGTATATAGCGGAGCCACGTGTTTCTCTGGAGTTAGGTTTTTCAGTTAATGTGTATGGAAAAAATCCTGTGAAGTCTAAATTACTATTGGAAATCCCTTAGGTAGTTACCATTTACAATCAAAGTAAACATTTTTCCCTCTATCATTGGAAGAGATTGCTAATTTTCTTTTGAACATCAGGTGAAATAATTGACTTGTGTTTGGGGCCATGTTATGCGAAACACACATTCTGTATCTTTAAATATTCAGCTTATAATCCACTGAATCATTAGTAAAATCGTTCCTCTCTTGCAAACACCCCAAACGCCTGTCCCTCTCCCCTTTATCATGCTCCCCTAGCAGAATTCTAACCTTGGTTACAGCCGATTATCCTTCTAATCCACATCAGGGATGGAGACGCTGAAACTTGCTGGAGAAAATTACACAACCTCTGTTGAGGACTCTCAATGTAAATTTGTCACCACAAATCTCTAATAGGCCTTCAGTACTGCTGGCTAATCCTATTCTATTTCTCTTGTCAATTCACTTTCCAAATCTCAGACAACTATTTCACACTTTCTTCTCTCTTCTTCTATCTCCAATATTCCCTCCCTCTCCCAACACTGATTTTAAGTGTCAAGTTCAATGAGTTCTGATAAATGGGTACACACGTGTAATCACCACCATGATCAACATATAGAACATTTCCATCATTCCAGAAAGGTTTTTCATGCCTTTTTGTAGACAAAAACCACACCAATGGTTTGAACAGGGAAAATTTAATATAAACATCTATTAACTGGTAACAGGGACTTAACTACTAAGAGGAGTGAAGCTAACTCTACAGGAAAGGCAGATGAAGGCTGTAATCCCTATCTCTAGGGCTTTGGGAGAGCAGCCAAGGAAGGAACAAACTTGGAGGAGGGCACCGATTCAAAGACTCAGACCTTATTTGAGAGGGTGTGGATATAGCCCAGTGGATGGCAGAGAAGTTCTCTGAGGCGCCCCAGGCTGGGGATGGCAAGCAATAAACCAGTGTCTGAGTGCCAGAAAAACTCAGTAGAAAGCTGCCTGCTGTGATACTGGCGAAACTCATTTGTTCTTAGATTTGGTGGTAAATTCTAGGTGAATATACCTACCCTTTGACATAGCAATTCCATTTCAGGTATTTACTCAAGAGAAATGAAAACTTTAGACAAACCCCAACCCAAAGTACCTGACCAGTACTCTTCAAAAGTGTCAGGGTCATATAAGACAAAGACAGACTGAGGAACTGTCACAGATGGGAGGAGAATAAGGAGACGTGATAACTAAACGCAGTGTGCAATCTTGGATTGAATTCTGGAATAGAAAAAGGATATTAGTTCAAAAGCGTGTAAAATCTAAATAATATCTGTAGTTTAGTTAATAGTATGGTACCAATGTTAATTTCTTACTTTTGATAATCGTACCATGGTTATGTAGGATGTTAACATTAGCGGAATCTGGGTGAAGGGTACACAGGAACTCTCTGTGCTATCTTGGCAGCTCTTTTGTAAGTCTAAAATTATTTTAAAATAAAAATTAAGAATAAAACAAACCTCCAATGACTTTCTATTGCACTTAAAATAAAATCCAAATTTCTACCGCAGTCTTCAGGAACAGGCCTCAGCTGACCTCTTGACCCTCATCTTGTACAGCTCTCCCCTTTGGTCACCATACTCCGACCATACACATCCCCTCTCAAGGCCTTTACTCTACTGATTCCTTCTTCTAAGAGCGCTCATTCCATACGTTTCTTCGCATGGCTGTATTCTCATCATTTGTATCTTAGCCCAAGAGGCCAAGCTACCAAGCTTCTGAAGAAATCCCATTCCCCAATATTCCCATCTGTTGCTCTTTGTCTCATTAACGTGTTTTATTTTCTTCATACAACTCATCTCTATGAGGAATTATTAGTTTCTCTATTCATTGTGGTTTCCTTCCTTCATGAAGCTCTTTAATATTTTCCAAATGGCCTTATCCCTCTTGCTTACTGCTGTATCTCCAGAACCTAGATTAGCACTGGCGCTTAGTAATTCCTCAATAAACAATGAACAAATGACCCTCTGTTAGCTGCTACATCCAGAAACCAGCTGAGAGAACATCAGAATTATATCTCATATCTTACGCTCTATCTCCCTAGGAAGTATTCTTGTTAAGTGAAATGAGGGTCAGAATCACCTGACATTTAAATAAATAATTTATTTAAATTTAAATAGATCTACATAAATAACATTTAAATTATTCTATCTCTGTTTTATTCTTTTTTGACTAATGCAGATACTTTAATTCACATAAGTAAATGAATAAATGGCAAGGTTCCCTGTAATGCTTTTTCTCTTTTAACAGCTATCGGTGCCTTAGAAACCTCTTTGAAGTTGCAATCATGCAAGCTACGTGCTGCTGGTAGCTGAATCTTAACCTGAAATGATTGGTTTCGAAAATTATTCAAATGGCGATTTGATCAAGGAGATAGTCTTATTCATAGACAGCTGGACAAATATTAATGATAAATCAAAGCAAATCTAGAAAAAATAATTCCACCGTTTTTTGGATCATAATAGGCATGATCTCAGAATCTTCACTCAGGTATAAGATGTGCAAGGGTGGGAGATGTTGGGACAGGGAGCCCAAACATCAACAAAATAAGGCACCTCTGTTTTTCTGTATTACCCTATGGGTTATACGTCGGCTCACTGGGCATCTTTTTCTTATCTGTCAATTGGTAGGATTGGACCGATGACCTCGATGGTCCATTCTAGTTTCTCAAAATTACTAAAGAAAATTAAAGAAGTCTAGAATAGATAGCATTACCAAACTGAGAACCATACTACACTCCTCTAAACACACGCACGGGCCTACACATACCCACTATTATCTTCCAGTGCTTTTGTCATATACCTTGTTTCCTCTTCTGTCTATTTTGTGGTGTGTGTGCATGTGTGCATTTGTGCTTGCTTATGTGGCTGTTTTAGACTCGGCTCAATGCTTATTAGGCAGCAAAAAATCTTTCTGATAATCTGAAACTAGACTTAGATGCCTCAGTCACCATGCTTCACTTCTGCATTGCAGACGTTCTGCTTTGGATATTTAGTGGAGTCAGAAATAAGAATAGAGAAAAATGGAGTGATTAAATCATTTTATGACTACGAGTTATGTTAGGCAAAATTCTCTTTAATTGGCAATACCTTAAGAACTCAGTACAGATTAAGTTTTTAGGTGATTTATTTAAATGTATCTGCCTCTGAAGAAAATGATATATTAGCTTCTTTCTTATTCAACTAGCTTGTATACAGTTTTAATTCTAAAAGCTCATATTGTTTTTTGATTGATAAATATATTAATTCACTAAAACAAACACTTATGAAACACCTACTATGTGCCAAGCATAGGTTTCACTTATGAATGATATATAGTTCCCAATCTCAAGAAACTCTTGGGGTGGAGTAGGTTTTGGGGCAGGGAGAAAAATGTAACAAACTAGTATAATAATGTTTGTTTGAAAATACGATAGGGTGATAGAATATTGCATAGTAAGAAAAATAAATTATTTTAGGAAAAATGTGTAAGAATCCAGATTGCCCTTTCATTTATTATTACTCAAGACTTAATTTATATAGCTCACTGATAATGTGGAATTTCTTTATTTAAGGGATTGAGAGTCTTATCTTTGTACTATATTAATTGACACAATTTATTTTTGTCCTAATTTTGTTTTCCTTTTTTATTTAGTTTTCTCTTTTAAAATTCAATTTTACCTGCTCATAGTTGAAAACAGTGGTTCTCAAAGTGTGGTCTGCAGACCCTGGACGTCTCCAAGACTCTTTCGGGGGGACCCACGATATCACTATCCTAACAACACTAAGACTTTCTTTGCATTTTTCTGTGTTGCCGTTGCATTGACGGTGCAAAAGCAAAGGCGGGTAAAACTGCTGAGTCCTTTACCACAAATCAAGGCACTGACAGCAAACTGTACTCGTAGGCATTATATCCCTCATCTCCACACAGTTGCCAAAAAAAAAAAGCCAGTTTCACTTAAAATATCCTTGCATATGTGGTAAAAATGATTATACTTCGATCTTCGAACACATATCTTTTTAGTAGTCTGTGTGATGAAATGAGTCTTATGCTGTATGGTTGTCTCAGGGGAAAGGACTTGTGGGGTTGTTTGAGTTGCGAATTGAACTAACTGCTTTGTTCAGGGAGCACCACTTTTACTGGAAAGAATGACTGCTAGACAAACTATGGTGTTTGTGACATGGATACTTGGCAGACGTTTTCTCAAAAAAGAATGAAGTGAGGGGCTGGCCTTGCAGCGTAGTGGTTAAGTTCGCGTGCTCTGCTTCCGCCGCCCGGGGTTCGCAGGTTCGGATCCCGGGCACAGACAGACGCACCACTTGTCAAGCCATGCTGTGATGGCATCCCATATAAAGTAGAGGAAGCTGGGCAAGGATGTTAGCCCAGGGCCAATCTTCCTCAGCAAAATGAGGAGGATTGGCATCAGATGTTCGCTCAGTGCTAATCTTCCTCACCAAAAAAAAAAAAAAAAATGAAGTGAGTCTGTCACTATAGGAAAATCAACTGACAGTATTTGTTGCCAACAAAAACTTGTTAACTCATCTTCATGTTCTTTTTTAACGTGTCAGCGTCTCATGAATGTCAAGGAATTTGTGAGGTGCGTTGGACCCAAAGACTCTTGGAATTTGTTGAAAGACAACTCAGTTTCCACAAGAAAGAAAGTACAAAGATTAGTACGCAGTTCTGAGTATTTTGTAAATCTAGATATAATTACTTTCACAATCCTGTGATTCAAAACTAAGGTTTTCAGGCAGTTAAATGCATTATGAATTTACCCACATATTCTGTGGCTTTTTTTTTGGAGGGATTTCAAATGTTAAGGCAACTGAGCTCACATGAGAAGAAATAGGTTGCTTATTATCTGCCTTTAGTCATGTCCACTATTTTACTAAAAGACCCATAACTGCAACTGTAGATGACGTTTACACCTATACAGCAGGATGTTCAAAATGTGGGAACAGGTCTTGCAAAAACAGGCTGAACTATTGGCAGACCAACTAAAAAAAATAACAACACGTATTACATTTATTAAGCTAGTTGAAAAAAGTTTTCTAGTTTAGAACATTTATGGTATTTAAAAAATGATGGCCCGGCCCTGTGGCTTAGCGGTTAAGTGCGCGCGCTCCGCTACTGGCGGCCCGGGTTCGGATCCCGGGCGCGCACTGAGGCACCGCTTGTTCGGCCATGCTGAGGCCGTGTCCCACATACAGCAACTAGAAGGATGTGCAACTATGACATACAACTATCTACTGGGGCTTTGGGGGAAAAAAAGGAGGAGGATTGACAATAGATGTTAGCTCAGAGCTGATCTTCCTCACAAAAAAAAAAAGATATATTTTCTCATACATAAATAACACTAATTATAGAAAATTTGGACAAGAAAGAAAATCATAAAGAAGAAAATGAAAATCCTCCATAATCTTGCTATCCAAAATTAATAATTTGATGTGTTTTCTGCCAGCCTTTTCTCTAATCAGAGCCAAGCAGGGCTGGAAGGGACCTCAGAGGTTATCTAATCCAACCTACTCATTTTATAGATGAAGAGAATCCATTAAAAGTTTGTCTCTATTTCTGGTCTTATTTCAAGTCATTTAAGCAAGAACAATAGACTTGTGTCAAGACAGCACATTATGCTTTGCAGATGTATTTGGAAAAACCTGAGTTGGATCATGGGCCCCCAAAGAGCTGGCCCAGACAAAGAGCCTAATATAACCCAGTTGGCTTCTAAGGCCTTCCTGCTTTGATCATTTTCTGTGATGATGTGACATTTGGAGCTGCAGCAGCCATTTTATGACCTGAGGTGACAAGACTGAGGACAAAAAGCTCATACACTGAAGGTGACAGAGTGGAATGATAGAAAGAATATGGGTCCTTAATGACATAACTGAGCTGCCAGACCAACCCTAGAATTGCCTACCCTCAGATCTCTTGGTGAGAAAATTAAATGCTTCTATTGTATGAGTTCCTTTAAGTTGGGTGTTCTATTCCTCATTGCCTCAAAAATCCAAATTCATAAGCCCTGTGACCTTGAACACACACAAGTGTTAACTATTCGCTGCCTAGGTGCCTTTATTGGTAAAATAGAGATAATATATACACATGTATTTTACAAAATTATAAACACTCTTTTGTATTCTACTTCTGTCATCTAATGTTATATCATAAGATTCTCCTGTGTTCTTCAAAATTTTTCTAAAAAGCATAATCTTTGATGGCTACAGAGATGTCTGTCACATGTTTTTCTCCAAATGCCCCTATTGTTGACCATTTACATTGTTAGCAAATATTCTTTTGTATAAGGAAAGGTTGCAATGAATCCTCCTTGTACATGAAGTTTTGTATCTTCAGTTCTCTTCCGAAGATAAGTTCCTAAAAGTGGAAATACTATGTCACATTTTTAAGGCTTATAATACCGATTACCACATTGTCTCCCCTCTGTCCCCCCGACCCTGACTTAACATTAGTATTAAGAGTGTACATGTGTGGAATATTCTTTTTAATAAGTAATGCTTTTACATGGTTCTAAATTCAAAAGTATACGCTGGAAAGTTTTCCTCCTATCCCTGTCTGCTAGCCACTCAGTTCCCCTCACCAAGGCTTCTGGGAAAAACTTCCAAATATATTCTAAGCATATATGGGGCCCCGGTAGGAAACAGATGGTACAGTCAAATTAATCAATTTAAGGAAAGGGATTATTTACAAAGTGAAGCTGGGTATTGAGAAGCCCAAAGGAACAGTGTAACACCCTGCAGCTAATAACAGGGGCCTCCTAGGACTGAAGGTGGGGGTGGGGATTGAACTTGGACTCAGAAAGGCTGTGTGGAGAGGGCTGGTTTAAAGGAACTTTGACCTTCAGTGAAGGGACGTAGCCAGCCTGTGGCAATCCCCCAGGCAGAGGCTGGGGGAACAAACCCCCCAAGTCCACGCTTTCCTGCCAGTGCTCCACTCTGGCAGAAACCAGAGGGTCAGGGAGCCCGTCCTCGTCACCCTCTTTGGTACTAGGGAGCCTGATTTTGTGGCAGCATCTCCTGTTTTCAACGCCGGCATACAGAGGACGCTGCTGCCCTCCTCACTGGTGCGTTCCTCGTTCCTTTAATGAAGGAAGAGTCCTGTGGGCCCTCCCAGAGAAGAGTCGGATGCCACGGTTCTCCAGCTGCACGTATTAATCCGTTCCTGTGTTCTCCCTCCCTCACCTTGTGACCTCTTCTCAGTGTCCGTCAGGCAGCTCCAGCACCTCTGCAATAGGCCAACATCGTGTCTGCCCAAGCTTCAAGGAGCCGTCCCAGCGAAGTAGTAAGACTGGTCCCAGAGATCTTTGCCAGGAGGGAAACTCCGAGTCGTGGGAGATTGCTCCACTGACAAGAAATTCTCCACCTGCGTATGGTCCACTCCCGTGGTCCACTCCCACCGCTGCCACTCGTCATACCTAGGACTCGTTAGAAAGCAGAGGCCAGTTCAGTGCTTAAATGTTAATGCTCTACTGCGAGCGGGCTTTGCCTGGGACTGTGCAGGTTTTAGCACTGATCGTCCTGCCTCCTGGGAATCCCCTCAGTCCTAGGCAAACCTGGCTGGACAATCTGTCACCTTAACTGAGAGGTGCAATCCCAGGTCAGCAAGAATGAGGGCAAAGGGGAAGCGAGGCAAGGAAGCAGGGAAAGCAAATACAAGGTGATGCACGAACAAGCTGGCCGGACCTTCCAGAGAAAGATGTAGCTGATTGCTTGGTCAGGCGACTTCTCTCCAGACAGGCAGCACCAAGCCACCGCTCCTGGGAACAGTCTGTTTGAAGGACGAGGGAAGAGGAATGTGTCTGCCAATTTCCTCCTGTCTCATATCTCTCACTGGGCAGAGTTCACCACATGGACTGTTAAACCCTCCGCAACTCCGGACTCTGTCACCCAGCCTTTCCGAATGGCTGTTGGGGAAGCCACATGGCATACTTCCTGCCGCAGTATTTCTGGGTGTGAGGGCGGTGGGGGAAACCAGCGTCTGTGGTTCTGGTTAAGTCAGGCCTCTCGGCCCTGGAGCTCTGTGGCTGCCACTGCAATGGGCGCAATGGGGGCCAAAACCTAGCCCTCACCCTAGGGCCAATCAAAGAGCTGGCAGTGGCAGGAAGTGAGGCAGCTGAGGACCTGGAAGGCAGGTATTGGTAGAGCAAATCTGGGGAGGTGTATAGACGGGGTACAATACAGTAGCTCTCTGTTAATTGGTGGATTGTCAATGTGTGTTAATTTTTTTATTGAGATATAATTGATATATAACATAACATTAGTTTCAGGTGTACAACATAATGATTCAATATTTGAATATATTGTGAAATGATCACCACAATAAGTCTAATTAACATCCATCACCATACATAGTTACAAATTTTTGTTTCGTGTAATGAAGACTTTTACGATCTACTCTCTTAGCAACTTTCAAATACAATATAGTTTTATTAACTATAGTCACCACACTGTACATTACATCTACATGACATTTGTTTTATAACTGGAAGTTTGTACCTTTTGACCCCCTTCACCCATTTCACCCCGCCCCCCCCACCTCTGGCAACTACCAATCAGTATCTATGAGTTTGTTTGTTTTTTTAGATTCCACATATAAGTGAGATCACATGGTATTTGTATTTCTCTATCTGACTTATTTCACTTAGCATAATGCCCTCAAGCTCCATCTACGTTGTTGCAAATGGCAAGATTTCTTTCTTTTTTATGGCTGAGTAGTGTTTCATTATATGTATATATTATATTATATATGTATCATTATATGTATATGTATATCACATCTTCTTTATCCATTCATCCATTGATGGACATCTACATTGTTTCCATGTCTT